CCGGAATATGAAGTCATCCTCCGGCTCCCAGCCTCACTCTGCGGCGCGCGAGGGAGCTGAGCAGACAGCTCAGAGGAAAAGCTCCCTCGCCAGCTGCCCGGGATGCCTGTTAGCCGCGAGGCTAACAAGGCATTTGCCCTGGGCATTTGGGGGGCGGCTTTTTTTGCCGCCCCTGAAAAATGCCGCCCAAGGCAAATGCCTTGTTTGCCTCGCGGCTAAAACGCCCCTGGTGGTGCTACCATAATAAGCACACAGGCTTTATTACGGAGCCAGTATCTATACACAGGCTCCTTAAAATGTGAGTGTTCTGTCTGCTATACTATTTATTGGATTCCACTTTTAAAATACCATCTGCACGATATTGCACCTTGTTTTTTCTGCCCCTTTAGATGTACTCCACACCAAACTTTGAATCAAGTTACGTTTGGTAAGCTTTGTATCTGTTTTAGCTCTCCACTTATAGGTGTAGGTTTTTTCACTTACACCGCACTGTATTACATACAGTGACCCATTCACACACACAGTGAACTATACACATACTTACTCATATACACAGATTGACTCGTGCAGTCCCCCTTCCGTGCAGGATTATGCACATAGAACCTCTGACATGGTAATCTGACCAGCACTTGATGAGTCAGTCCCATTCTCTCTCTGTTCAGTCGCCAGGATGACATCAAATCCCAACAACAGAAAGTATCATCTCTATTTCTGGTGGCTCTGCAGAAACTTGCCCCAGATTACACTGGTCATAGTGCCAGGGCTCCCTCCAACCTGCTGCATGGCTTTCAGAGAGGGCATGGAAGAAGTGATGTGATATGACTTACTGCTATCGCTGTCAAGGAGGAGTGTGCGGAGAGGGGTAAACAAGTCAACCCGGCAAAGCCCCTGATCGGAGATGCCCCTAAGAGTGAGGGACAGTTGATGGGCCCCAATAGGGCCCCAATAGCATGCAAGCCCCGGTGCAGCCACACCTGGTAGTTCTGCCACTGCCCTGAGCACTTTAAAGATTATGGTGGACACTGGCCAGCTTATCCTACTATGCAATGTGTAGTAGATGTTATCAAAACTATTAGGGACAGGCAGTACAGTACTGTTTATCAGAAAAGTCTGCTGTTTTCTTTCCCTTCCTTTGACCTCTCTTTTCTCTTAGAGAAAATGTATTTCATCTCAAGAGGACTCATAATATTGTTGTTGCAACTCCATTAGTTATGTATGTGGAAGGAATCCTCGGACGTCTGCATCCATATCTAACACATTGAGTGCTGGTTTTCCTATTTGATGTGAATAGTAACCAAAAAATGGGATGGCATGGAGCCGAAGCTGATTTTACTTTTAAACCCCTTAGTGACCAGCCCGCTTTTCAATTTTCTTACCCTTAAGGACCAGGTCTGTTTTTACATTTCTGCGGTGTTTGTATTTAGCTGTAATTTTCTTCTTACTCATCTATTGTTTTCACACATATTATATACAATTTTTCTCGTCATTAAATGGTCTTTCTAAAGATACTATTATTTTCATATCATATAATTTACTATAAAAGAAATTATAAAATATGATGAAAAAATAAAAAAAACACACTTTTTCGAACATTGACCCCCAAAATACGCATCTACAACCACCAAAAAACACCCATGTTAAATAGTTTCTAAATTTTGTCCTGAGTTTAGAAATACCCAATGATAACATGTTCTTTTTTTGGAAAGTTATAAGGCTTTTTTTGGAAAGTTGTAGGGCTATAAGTACAAGTAGCTCTTCCAAACCATTTTCAGAATGAATGCAAGTTACATTTTAACAATGATATCTGTCAGGAATCCCTGAATAACCCTTCACATGTGTGTATATATATATATATATATATATATATATAAATATATATATATATATGTTTAAAAAAAAATACAAACTTAAGTATTACATTTAGGGTATTTTACCACCAATCTATGCCAAATTTTAAAAAATTTAATAATTGGAGATTTTTTTGACACACATAGCAATTTAAGAATACACGTACTGAGAACTTTAAGGGTTACTGCCAAAGAACACCCCAATATATGTTCACCAACCTCTCCTGAGTACAGTGATACCACCCATATATAGGTATTTTGGGTTCTCTGGGGGCTAAAATACCTTATTTGGAGGGTACACATTCCAGTTTTCCATCTTGGAATTTTCACTGCTGGTCATCATGCACCCATGTCCTATTTGGGAATTTTTTTAAGCCGGCCAATGTAATTTACCCCATCAAACCATATATTTTTGAAATGTAGACAACCCATGGTATTCAATATGGGGTATGTCCAGTCTTTTTAAGTAGCCACTTAGTCACAAACACTGGCCAAAATTAGCATTTATATTTGTCTGTGTGTTAAAAATGCAAAAAACAATTATGAACGCTAACTTTGGCCAATGTTTGTGACTAAGTGGCTACTAAAAAGACTGAACATACCCATTTGCAATACCTTGGGTTGTCTTCTTTTGCAAATGGTATGCCATCATGGGGGTAATTCTCATTCCTTGGCTACCATACGCTCTCAAAGGCAACATAACCAATCTGGCAAATTTCAATATGAAAAAATGGCCTTAGATTTGACCCTGTAACTTTCAAAAACACTATAAAACCTGTACGTGAGGTGTACTGTTATACTCAGGAGACTTCGCTGAACACAAATATTAGTGTTTCAAAACAGTAAAACGTATTACAACAATATCATAAGTTAAAGTGCCGTTTGTATGTGAAAAATGCAAAAAATTTCACTTTCACTGACAATATCATCACTGTGATATGTTTTACTGTTTTGAAACACTAATATTTGTGTTCAGCGAAGTCTACCGAGTAAAACTGTAACTCCCATGTACAGGTTTTAGGGTGTCTTGGAAAGCTACAGGGTTAAATATAGTGCTAGCAAATTAAATTCTCTGGATTTTTGGCCTGGGTTGTCAGGCAGGTCCCCCAAATTGCAATCAATAAAATTACTTAATTATGTAAAAATATTACATAAATATGCACATAGAATTTAAATATATATACATATTTATATAAACACAAAGATAAAGCACCGTGCTCACAGCAGTAGCTTAGTATCCAACAGCTAAAAATACATAGTAAAAACAAAGAGAACATTACCTGGCCTAAATCCCTATGTACATTTAAACAAAATGGAGGCTCTTTAGTTTTATTCCAATGGCCATTTGAATATAAGCTCACCTGCCATGTCAAAGCAATCCCCAAAAGGTTAGTCATACTCTAGCCATTAGATTTGCTGATATCAGCCAAGAATCTCCAATGAGACAGGAAGGGGTATTTTATAAACCCTTTCCCATTTAACCCTTTATAGGGCTTCTACACATACAATAAACTTTGCTGGTATCAGACAAAATGTAAACATCTCTATTGAGACATGAAGGGGTGTTTTATAAACCCCTACATACTTATTAACCCTAAATAGGGCTTTAAAACATACAAATCACCTTGCCGTATCAGCTAAAAGGCAAATTTCTCTGTTGAAACAGGAAGGGGTATGTTTGTAGGGGAAGCACTGCTTTCTGTCTCAACAGAGAAATTTGCCTTTTAGCTGATAACGGCAAGGTGATTTGTAGTAGACTGACCGCAAGGGAGCAGAGCAGAGAGATTAGAGCTCCCTCGCCACCTCTGATTATACCACAGTCGCACGCCTCCCAGCAGCCACACTGGACCCCAGGGATAGATCCATGCCAAGTTTCTCTTCAGGTAGGGAGGCTGGGTGGAAAATTTTTAATTAGAGTTAATTTTGAGTTAGAGTGTGGGTGTCTGTGAGTGAGTGTGTGTGTGAGTGATTGTATGAGTGTGTGTGCATTTGAGTGTATAAGTGTGCATATGAGTGTGCCTGTCAGTGTATGAGTGTGATTGTCAGTGTATGAGTGTGTCTGTCAGTGTGTGTTTGTGAGTGTCTGTCAAATCAGTGAGAGTATGTTTGTCATTGAGTTTGTGTGTGACTATCAGTGTGTCTGTTGATGAGTGTCAATCAGTGTGTGTGTCTGTCAATAAAGGAGTGTGTGTCAGATTAGTGAGTCTATGTCTGTCAGTCAGGGCCGGACTGGGAAGATAATTCGGCCCAGGCATTTTTTAATTACAGCGGCCCACTACAAAGGGGGCGGGGCCAGATAGGGTGTGTTTTGTCATCACCAATGACAAGCACGCCCCATCACAAAGTGAGCATGTTGGTTCAATGCTCTTCCAGGGTAGACCATGCGCAAAGCTCTGCTGAAGAGCTCTGGCATGAGAAAAAGACCCTGTATTTGTTCTGCACAGCGCAAGCAAATTCAATAACATACTTGCACTGTGTTTGCTTGAAATTTGTCTCTGGTGTCTCCATAGTTGGGATACCAGGTGACAAAAATGCTAGGAAAGCATATTGTGCAGTGTGTGAGGATGCTGTATGTGTGTGTAAGGGGTGTAGTGTGTGTGCGAGAGGGGTACAGTGTGTGTGAGGTGTATAGTGTGTGAGTGATGGGTGCTGTGTTTGCGTGAGGGTGCTATGTGGGTAAGGGTGCTGTGTGTGCTGTGTGTGATTGGGTGCTGTGTTTGCGTGAGGGTGCTATGTGTGTGTGAGGAAGCTGGTGCAGTGTGTGTGTGTGTGTGTGGGTACTGTAAGTGTTAGGGGTGCAGTATGTGTGTGCTGTGCGTGTCAGGGGTGCAGTGAGTGTGTGCTGTGCATGTCAGGGGTGCAGTGTGTGTGTGTGTGGGTGCTGTAAGTGTTAGGGGTGCAGTGTGTGTGTGTGTGTGTGTGTGTGAGGGTGCTGTAAGTGTTAGGTGTGCAGTGTGTGTGTGTGAGTGAGGGTGATGTGAGTGTGTGTGTGTGTGTGTGTGTGCTGTGTCAGGGGTGCAGTGTGTGTGAGTGAGGGTGCTGTGCATGTCAGGGGTGCAGTGTGTGTGTGTGTGTGTGTGTGTGCGGTGCAGTGTGTGTGTGCTGTGAGTCTCAGGGGTGCAGTGTGTGTGTGAGTGAGGGTGCTGTGAGTGTCAGGGGTGCAGTGTGTGTGTGAGTGTGCTGTGAGTGTCAGGGTGCAGTGTGTGTGTGTGTGTGAGTGCAGTGTGTGTGTGTGTGTGTGCTGTGAGTGTCAGGGGTGCAGTGTGTGTGTGTGTGCTGTGAGTGTCAGGGGTGCAGTGTGTGTGTGTGTGCTGTGAGTGTCAGGGGTGCAGTGTGTGTGTGTGTGTGTGCTGTGAGTGTCAGGGGTGCAGTGTGTGTGTGTGCTGTGAGTGTCAGGGGTGCAGTGTGTGTGTGTGTGTGTGAGTGTCAGGGGTGCAGTGTGTGTGTGTGTCTGTGTGAGTGTGTGTGTGAATGAGGGTGCTGTGAGTGTTAGGGGTGTCTGTGAGGCTGATGTTAGTTAGGTGATTATTTCCCCCCTCCCTGCTTACCTTTAGCCTGGGAGGGGGATCCTGCTGCTGGGGCTGCCATCCATCCCTGGTGGTCTTAGTGGTGAGTGAACTCTAGCCTGTGAGGCTAGAGTTCACTCTCGCGAGACCCAGAGCGTTGCCATGGCAATCTCGCGAGAGGAACCCGGCGGAGCTGTAAGTTAAAGCTCCGCCGGGTTCCTCTGCTGGCAGGCTGGCTCCCTCCCTCTCTTCCCGGCGGCCGCACTATCCTGCATGTGGGCCAGTGAGGGAGATCTCTGCATAGACCGGCAGGAGAGATCATGTGATCTCCCTGCCCGCCTCGGCCCATGGCCACCGCGGCCCACCGGGCATTTGCCCGGTGTGCCCGATGGCCAGTCCGGGCCTGCTGTCAGTGACATCTGTGTGTTTGTCATTGAGTGTGTCTAACTGTCAGTGTGTATACACCACTGAGTGTAGTGTGGCGGAGCAGAGCGAGGTACAGGAGCTTCTGTTTCCTGTACCCAGCCAGACTGACAGGAGGTGCGCACTGGGGGAGCACTTCCTGTCAGTCCGGCCGGATACAGAAAACTGAAGCTCCTGCAGGGGATCTGCTCCGCTCAGCAACGCTACAAGAGAGGTAGGAGGCACACCAGGAAGGGGAGTGTGACCACTAAAGGGGTGGGGGGTGCACCAAGGGACAGGGAAAAGAGAGGGGGAGGGAAGAGGAACACTAAGGGAAGGGAGAGGACCAATAATGGACAGGGAAATCACATAGGTAAAGATGTTATTTTGGGGGGGGATCTGCATCTTCGTCTATTTACCCAAAAATCCTTGCACCTGCCCTGTGTGGGGGGCCAGGCTGTGGAAATGGGGTAACAGGGTGTGGGGTAGCAGGGTGTGGAGGACAGGGTGTCGGGTAGCAGGGTTTGGGGGGACAGGGTGTGGGGGTGTATGCTGTGGGAATGGTGTGTGGGAGAAGGCTGTTAGGAAAGGCTCAGTTAGGAAAAAGGACACATGAGTCGTTTATTACATGTGAGTTTACAGAGGAAGAGGTTCTATTTCAACTGTCAAAAGTAAAGACAAATAAGTCAATGGGACCTGATGGAATACACCCAAAATTATTAAAAGAGCTTAGTGTTGTACTAGCAAAACAATTATCAGATTTATTTAACCAATCATTGTTAGCAGGAGTAGTCCAAGAAGATTGGAAGTTAGCGAATGTTGTGCCCATGCACAAGAAAGGTAATAGGGAAGAGTCGGGCAACTATAGGCCAGTAAGCCTTACTTCAGTAGTGGGGAAAGTAATGGAAACCATGTTAAAGGATAGGATTGTTGAACATCTAAAAACACATAGATTTCAAGATCACATGGGTTAAGACAACATGGGTTTACTTCAGGGAGATCATGCCAAACTAATCTTATTGATTTTTTTGATTGGGTAACTAAAATAATAGATCAGGGTGGTGCAGTAGACATTGCTTACCTAGATTTCAGTAATAGATTTCAGTTCTACATAGAAGGCTTATCAACAGATTGCAATCTTTGTGAAAAATTGTGTTTTTCCGATTGTGATACCTGATTTAAAAGCTGATTTATTTTCTTTTTCAATGATTGGAATGCCCTTAAAGCATTTGATTAATTCACTTTCAGCAGGAGCAAGACTGTAGGTCAGTTGGTGCACTTCACCACAGATTTATCGAGTGTTCCTATTGACCAGCATGCCTTCCTATTCTTGACGGCACATGGGTGTCAACCTTTGGTACCTTGGTGTGGCAGTGGAGGAGCTCCAAGCTTATCAGCGTGTCAGACTGGGAGTGGATCTGTAGGGCATCAGGGCAATCTATCTTTCCTACTGCATGCTGAAGTGATGGACACACTTCAGCAAACATGCTGCAAGCAATCATGAAAATGTTGGAAGAGCATGCAGGTACCAATCTACACTTTGGGTTTGTGGTGACCGACAGAGATTCTAACATAGGCAAATCTCTGTAAGATGGTTTCTGCAATGTTTTTTGTGTGAAGAGCTCAATTCATGATGGAAACACAAACATACTTGATCATTGCAGGAGACTTGCTCAGCATTTCCACACTAGTAAGAGGGTGACCCAACACTTGAGGCAGGAGCAAGAAAATGGAGGGCTTCCCGCACACTGCCTACAACAGAATGACAGCACTCAGTGGAGCTCCACTTTAGACATGCTGGAAAGATTTTCAGAACAGCATCTTCCTGCCACCCCATTGGCATTGACTCTCCACTGGGATGTGAGGATTGGTCAACAACAGGGAAGCCAGTGGCAGTTCTTATTCCATTTAGGGATGTCACAGAAAATTTGAGGCACAGTAATACCAGTTTTGGACAAGTCATCCCCTGTTCACCCACCTCAAAACAAAGATGGAAGCCTTCCTGGAAAACATTTCAAACAAGGAAGTTGTTCCTTGCGAGTAAGTAGAGGTTCAAGTGCCTATATTTGAGGTTTTCTGTCTATTTGTCCTCCTACTGTCTGCCTCAATATCCTCTTGCTTTGGATGTCTACGTACCTGACCCTTGTACATTCCCCAGCTTTGTGTCTGCTCCCACTCCAGCTATTTATGTCTTTGTCCCCAGCCTTCTTTGTCCTCCATCCTTTTCTGCCCCTCATTTTTTATCTCCTCCACCTCTTTACCCCCCAGTTTTCTATTCATGTCCCCCCCCCCCATCTTGAATTCCCAACTCCTGCTGCGACTCACCCTTTTTATCAAATACCTGTTGTATTGGGTGTTTTCCCCTGCCTGACTGAATATTGCAGTGTGACAATGACTGCTACCTCTTTAGACACAGTTAGGAGAAGCTGATAGGGCATTGTTCCTACTAAAAGACAGTCACTTCTATTTCTCAGTGACAAGTGAGTGGCCATGAGCAATTGATGGCTCACTCACCCCTTCCACCCTGGGAAGAACAAAGCGTTTCCACATCGGCTTCTTCAAACTGTGTCTGCTGAGATAAGCAGGTCAGGCACTGCAAAACGACACCACTATAATGGAAGGCATTTCAAAAAAGTGGGAGCAGCAACAGCAATTAAATTTTAAAACAGAGTATTAAAAAAAATTAAAGGAAAAAAGTGAGTGGGCAACTGATAACACACTCACCAGTTCCACCATAATTGTTTTCTAAAAAAAAATCACCTTGTTTCAAGTTAAATGGAAAAATGCTTGCACTGTTTTTTGTAAAAACTGAACGATTGTCACTGTTTAGACTGGATATGCAGGAGCACTTTGTTCTTCTCATGGTGGAAGGGAATGGGACATCAATTGTCCACAGACTTTATTCCTTTCAATTGAACATATTTCCTGCTGTAGCTGCTCCCAATTTTTATTTGTGCAAGATTGCAAAAGGAAAAACAGTCATAATTATGTAATAATGTTATGAATAGCAAAAATGGCTAATATTGTGTATGATGCAAACTAATAGGCACCTTCCCTGAACCCCCCTCCCCCCCCCCACCCATGCCCCACCTGCCCACTCTTTTTTGGCATGATCAAATGATTTCCCAGAGTAATTTTCCATGGATAAGGTTCAAAAGAGTAAAACTCACATGCTTGAGTATCGTACATCCTGAACAAAGTTTCGTTCTAGGAAGCATTGTCTGGCCAAACTGAACAATCCCGGTTTGGCTTGCCTAGTCATTCAGAAAGTATTCTGAATAATGATAAAGTAAAAACTGAGTTTTGACACCACAGTTCTGGGACACTATAGGCACCCAAACCACTTAATTCTCAATAAAGTGGCCTGGCTGCCATGTACTCCCCGAATTAACCCCTTTAAGCGAAAATATTGCTGTTAGCCATTAAAGGTGCTTCCTCTCAAATAGCAGATTAAAAATCTGCTATTTCAATCAGATGGTCTCCAAAATGAAACTATAATACATCTACATTTGGCAAGGTACAGGAGCTTCTGCTCTGTGCTTCTTTTATGATGACTGCTTGCCTCTGTCTCCTGTGAGCACTGTAGTCCCCCCCACCCCCACACTGTAGTCCCATCTTGAGAGCCAACGATCACTCCTAAAGAGCGAGGTCAATAGCATGCCTCCACTCATAGATAGATTGTTCTGCTACTTGGTAAAAAGGAAACTCAATGGGAGGTCCCTGAAATTCCTTTTTTATTTTGACACACACATAGTCAAAGTATGGAGTATGTTAATCTAGTTTTTTGGGCATATTTTTTAGTTTATCCCCCATAACAACTGTTTGGGTACAGACCCTATTTTCTCTATGATTGAGCCTCCACTGCTATATGGAGAATGCCAAGTATAAAACTAAATACATACCGTGCACAGGTTCTGAGCCAACAAGCTACTAGTCCCTGTTTCTTATTCATTATAGCTACAGTGATAACTGGAAACAAGGTAGAAATGCTGACATAGAAATGCTGACATAGCTCTCTTTGTAACAGTCTGCACAGTAGCTGTGTGAATAAGTACCTATGTGAAGCTTTCATCACAAAAATACTCGAGAGAAGCTACCCATCAAAGTAACAGGTTCTACTGTGATTTCTAGTAGTTTGCCAGGTAATTTCAATTGTTGAACACCAGAAAAAGGATTATGCCTCTTCTTCAGATCAATCATTTCATGTTACAGAAACCCTTGAGCCTACTCACCCGCCTGGAGGCCCGTCCACCACTCCACCCGCCTGGGCCGTGGTGGGTCCACCAATGAAGAAAAGGCCACTGGAAAACCATCAGCAGCTGTGGAAGGAGATTCAGCCTGCGCCTGAACACCAAGAGTATGCGTAGCCGCAAGCCAGCCAACCCTGAAAGAAGGACTGCGGCTCCTGCTGCATGGGGCTGGAGACAGGGACGATAAGCAGGCGCGGACAGCAGCAAACCGTCCCGCTGCTCGGATAGTGACAGAAGCCCTCAAGGGAGGTGAAGCAAGCCTCGCGGCTGCAGACCTATAGATCCGCGAGGCCAGTCCTGCACTCCTCAACC